GATTCAAATCCAGTTTCATTCCAGTTGATGCCAACACATTCTATTTAAGTACTTTCCAATGTAATCCAGTTCAACACCATCATCTTGATTAAATTAATTTAAATTGAGGATATTGACTTATTGATTTAAAAAAGCGAAGAAAGATTCCCCGACTGTAGCAAAATGACGACACACCGATTCTGATGCATGTCACATAATCTAATTTTCTGCATCCGCAAAATGACACAAAGGTTTATTGTGCTGTTTCCACTGGTCCAAAGGATGTGAAATATTCACCCAAAGAAAGCAGACACCTTCCAGCTCCAGATGTATGACAGGCGGGACAGAGACACTAAAGAGTCTCATTAATAAGATAGTGAACTCTGTGTTAAAACTCAAATTGAATTTCAGGATAAAGTTTAGAGTCAGTTTCACAACACCGTCTGCAGTCTTTCAACTTTCATCTTTGTTTCTAATTATGGCAGAGATAATTCTCAGTTATGCTTATCTGTGGCACAGAGGAATTGTAGCTTTATAATCACTGAAAGAAAAATGTTTCTTTCATCTGATAAGAAACAGATAATACTCTTTTGTCAGTATAACCAACTATCTGTATCATTAGGAGTCACAAAGATTGAATGTTTCCAATAACAGTTTGGAATCATATCATTAATTTTTAATTCAATAAGCCATTTATGTAATGAATGCAAACAGAATGTGTCACTAAATTTGAACAAGGGGTTCAAACAAGAGTTTTATAAATATTTGCCACTGTTAAGGTCAATTTAATTTGAGAAATAAATTGAATTAACAGCTCGTATAACTTTTCACAAATAACGGAGTTGCAGGTATGGATAATTTGCAAATGAACTAATGATCTCTGTGTATCTGGTTATGTTGCAATTGTACCTATTTTATTTGTGAACAGGTCGGCAGATATGTGTTCTTCATTGTAATCCGTTGAGTTGCAGGAGAAGTAACATACAGAAAGTTTTGTAATATAATGCAGCACAATCGTCAATTTTAATATGACATCTTTTTCAGCACCAAATAAGGTAATCTATCATCTACAACAGGGATGCCTAAGTCCAGACTTTGAGAACTATCCTGCAACATTTAGGTTCACTTCTGCTCCAACATACCTGCATAAAATATCTGAATTCTCTCATCAGCAGTCATTTTGTTCTGCAGAGCTCTGCTAATGTGTCATTTGTTTGATTTAGGTGTGATGGAGAAAAAATGCATAAGTTGAAGGAATGTTGGACAAAGACTGGATAGGGCTTCTGCTACTCAAATGTATTTCGTTAGCTTGGAGGTAGACATGCCCCTTCCTCCACAGGAAGCTCCTGGGAATGAGCTCCATGTAACATCCAACAACTCCCTCAAGCACACAACCTTTTCCTCGAAGAATACCACTCTGAAGGAGGAAGTATGAGTCTCAAATCCTTTGAGCCATAATCGTATTTATCTATTGACCAAGACATCTTAGAGTACTTTTCCTTTTTGATTATTTGAATCTTTGCCCGAATGCGGCACCTCTTTGTTGCCAAGCGGCTGTTGTTGAGCGGCTGAAACATAATAATCATTGTCTTCTGGAATTAAACTAATATGATTCCTTTTCTGTTCCATTTTCATTTTCTTTCTAATTGGTTGACTTTTTGCCGCTCATAAACGCTAATACTGCTTTGCATACAAATTTATTGTTGTATACCTTTAACTCCTGGAGTGCATAAACAGCAATGAGGACCTAATTTCATGATTTCTGAAGCTGCTTTCACTACAGTGCACCTCACTCTTGGATCATGTTCTGTCACGCTAGGCGGTTTAAGTGAACCAATCATACGTCTGTTTTCTTGTCAATCAATGTTGGCAGGTGTTGTAGATACTTTGGCTGCTTTATAAGTGACTCAGATATATTGTCTGTACTTGAAAATTAAATGTGTCCATTTCAGTGTGTCCTTCCTTTTCATGAGTTGCTTCCATGCACTTTTTAATTCGGTCCCTTTCTCCACTTTTGACTTAGTGTTTTTCTGTTCCTGCCCAGAAAAACAAGTGTGAGCAATCCTTCATTCTGGAAACTAACTTATAATATGTTTCCAATTTATATGCTGATGTTGCCTTGAAATGTCAATTTTATATATTTAAATCCTGTTTTACATTGAAATATCACTGATTTTTTGGTAACACAGACTCTCAGCATTTAAAGCTATGAGTTGTGATCTGAGCATGAATTGTTTACAGGGGTAGAAATTAGCACCAAATGCAAATTTGCATTTGGCCACTGGCCAAACACAAAAATTATATTGAATCTAATTTTTATTTAAGGTGTCCAAACTTTATGTTAAATTATTCTGTATATGTACCTCTGTATGGTAAACTTGTCAGTAAATTGGTTTTCATAGAGTTAAGAATAAATCATACATTTTCTATAATTTGCTTGTACTTGTGGGGTTTGCAATCAAAAGAAAAAACAAACTGTGGCTGGTGAAATATTTGAGTGGCCGGTAAAAAATTTCCACCCCAGCTAGTGTATCAGAATGACAGACTTTTTCTTTGGATTGTTGAGGTAGTTTACAAATCAGCATGTGAACTCACAGGCAGGGAAAAAATGGAAATGTGTGGAAGTGGAAACAACACAACAGGATGTAATCTCATGTTGGAAGGTGCAGTTTGTTACAGATTTGTGAAACTGTTGAAAACTCTCCAAGTTGCTACTTGTTTCACTGCTGAAAAACATTATTTCTGAACCCATGTAGCGCCATGAAAACCTGTTTTAAATTAATAAATGAGGGAATGAATGCAGCTTCAAAACCTAAAAACTTGTGTTTCAGCTTCTCACATTTTCTTGAAAATTAAAGCAGTGTAAGCACAACACGCATAATGTTCTTGGAACAATTCAAATGTTGACTAACTTACATGTGGATTGCATTTGTGGAAATACTGGAGTTCCATCAACTTCCAAAAGAAATGCTGGTTTTTTGTAGATTTCACATGTAGCAGCAGAATCGTGCTGGGAAGAAGCAGAAGGGTGCAGGGACCCGTAGCAATGCAATACAGGAAGAAGAGGAAGAAAACGACAGATGATAGGAGAGGACTGAGGGAACAGGCGGAGGAGAGCAAGAGATTACTACCATAGTACGTCAGGCTAAGCTTGCCATCTTTATTGGTAACCATGGAAATAATTATAGAGCAGACAGACAGACTGTTCGGAGAGAGTGAGGTTTGGCGGAAAAAGAAAAGAAAGGGAGGGGACAAAAGACAAGAGGGGAGAAGGAGAAGGAAGAACCGATGGGGGGGTAAGGTAGGTGAAATGTTTTGTAGGAGTCCCGAAACTCTGCAGATGTTATTGAATAAAAAACATGTAGAGATGAGCTGAGAAGCGATTGTAGAGGCGGTTTAACCAGATTCTTCATCGAAGCTGCTGCGGAGTACAGTGTTATCTTTTCTGCTCGGTTTCTTTGTCATAAAACGACACAAAGACAAGATTTAGCTAATTGAAGATGTGGTACTTCCAGTACCGTTTGAGCGTTGAAAGCGGCAGTAGAGTGTCGTCATAGCATACATCCACCTATAGGAGGGCATTTTTAACACAGTGAGCAGTTGATTAAGTTGACATGGATACTTATGCATTGCAACATTTTTGCACCCCAAATGAGAGTGCGATAGGTTTAGTCCTGCCATCATGTAAATATTGACATTATGTCCTTTTGCTGAAAAACTTTTTTGGTGTGCACATTTAAATGCTATAATCTCATTCTATAGGAACAACGTTTGGTATGTGCACCTTGGGAAACACTGAGATACAATGGCAATTATTTTTAAGACAAAGTAGAAATATGTACTATTGTTAAAACAGATGCTGATACAGAGACAAAAAAATCTAAGAGCCTAGAAACACTTATATTGAAAACATTCATTTTAAGTTATTTATATTCACAACAGTGCGCCCTTGAGGTTGATCTAGATATTGTGTTCAGTTTAGTTTGATGATTGGCAATGTTAGCAACGTATTGATTCATCAAAAACTAGTGACGCATCAAAAACACAACTAGTCTGTTGAGACTTTTTACTGAAGTTAAACATTTCTAATCATATTGTACACACATTTTTTATGTGATTTGGGAACAGACTCAACACAGCCAACTGTTTGTTGAATGAAATCATGCTTACAATAATTCAGTGTTTAAAATTCTGTAACTAACCTATAAATTATTTTCTTTAAAACTGCATCTTTTCTAAGTTATTGTGACTATACCAGTAAGCTAAATATAAGCTATTTAGCAAGCAAAAGTTTAGTAGCTTGACACAGTTGCTAACTAACCTGCGCACTGTGACATCTGTATATAATTCCCTCTGAAAACTAAAATTAATACAATAGTTATCTAAATTGTTGCCACGGCTGCATGGTTGAACGATTATGCCTCATTTAGAAGCTGAAAGTAGAGTTACTTTAACTCTGCTGCTTTGCTTGAAGACAATATATAGCCTATCATTGTGTAATTATTAATGACTATGATAATTATTGTTTCTTTGGTAAAAGTTTCTTAAAATTTGATACCATAAAGACCAAAATGGTAAAACTCTTAAAGCTACCAAGCCTACATCGCAGACAATACAGCATGTTAAACACAAAGAGGTGGGCTGAAACATTTACTAGATTTTAGCGCTTACATGTGTTTGAATGAATGCGTCTGTTAGAAATATGGTCTTGCCTTTTCTGAGGATTTAAATAATGTGCTTGCATTCCTCCCACTCAGTTGCCCTTAGCCCTGAATTTCATGCTGCTCTTCCCATGCATGTGACAGCAGAAGGTGAGAGGTAACGAGTAATGATTAAGAGGCTGTGCAGAAAGCAGAGGGAAGGAAAGAGAGAGCTAGTGAGGTAAAAAAAAAGGATGAGTACTTAAAATCTCTCCAGGTCCCAGCAGGGATCCATGCAGCCCCACCCCTTCTGAACATCTCTCTCTCTCTTTAGCTTCTCTCTCTCTGTCTCTTTCTGCTGGAGATTCTCGGAGAGAAGGAGGGAAAAACAGAGAGGCGCAGGGCATTTTGTGCACTGCCGCCGCCGCCTCTCCAAACTGTCCTACCATCCACCTTTGCAGGAAAATCTCCATCCATGCAGTCGGGACACACAGCTTTCTGGGCGGATTTCCTAAGGATGAAATTTTTTAGGGAGAAGGAGGACAAGGGACTAAGTTGTGATCAGTATCTGCCCGCTTCTGGGCTGCATCCACTTTGTTTTTAGACTTCCTTTCCGACCGATCATATCTACTTCTCATTTCTGCACAAGGTGGAATGTGTTGTACTTTTTTTCTGCACAAGGAGCTTAATTGTTCTGATTGCTCGTTGGCTGCTTCTTGTGGGGGTGTGGAGCTCTCTGGTGCACTTCACGCACGCTCTCATGCATGCACTGCATTTTCCCAGACATGCACCTCCTTCCTCCGTAGCTTTCGATCACAGTTAAACTCCGTCATCTCCAACCCCTCCATCCGTCCCCGGCCACTTCATCTCTGACATGCACAATAAGGCGGGAACGCACTAAGGAGACGTGCTCAGAAAAAACATTCCCGTCTAAAAGATGAGAGGAATCGTCCTCAGTGGATCTCTTGTCGGACACCGGGATTACGAGCAGAGGGTCTGTCCGGAGGGCACGGGGGAGAGAGGACAGCAAGAGGCTGGGGAGGGGGCGCTCTCATCCCCACTGCGTTCCACCGAGCTGCCGATGCTGCCGGCACTCAGTCAGAAGCAGTCTGCTGGTGCTGGAGGGAGGCGGGGGGAGGATGAACACTGCCTCAGTGTGAAATTATAACAGTCAGCCCGCTCTGGGAGTGTTTGTTTCTCTGTCGTTTTACCTCTCACTAATTAATCTGAGGATGCGAGGTAACGAACAGTGGCCTATTTAAAACTGTCATCGTGCGTACACTTTGCGGTTTGGCACTTTCAGGCCACATCAGCAGTAAATTTAGCACTTTAGAAAAGCACAGGCCCACAGTTGGGAGTTTACCTTTGCAGTGACAGGACATCCTTCCACCAACAGGTCACTCTGTTGGTGTGTTTATATGTGTGTGTAAGTTTGTGTTAGTCTAATCGTTTAACTCAGTAGGAAAAAAAACAACTTATAATCTTCTTATAGGAATGTTAAGTGAATCTGTGATTATTATATTGCGCCTAATTATATTTTGTATGTATTATTCAACCAAGGAAATGCAATCTTCTTAATAAATATATGCTACAAAGGAATTTTATGGGATGCTTGTAGAGTATTGGACCTAAATATTCAAAAATCTTGAAGGAGCCCTGATTATAGGTGCCTTTATGTTAAATAATAAATTTTTTATCCATCTGCCTATTTGTCCATGAAATATTTAAAGGTCATGGACTGATTTATTTATACATTTTGCACCTTCTGAAGCACTGAGCTTTTGTAGTGAAATTGCTTTTTCTTTGCTCTGCTTCACTTTAAGATCCCTTGATTCCTCTCTTTTGTTCAGGCTGACTTTTTGAGCAATACTTTTCTCTGTGGAACTTTTTTCTATGGCCTTATAAACCCACCGGAGGATGTTTCAGCTGCTTCATCAGACCGGCCTGTGTTTCGTAACACCTGTTGGCAGGTGCTGATTGCAGACACGCTCAGTTATTTATAAGACGTCTGTATCACTGTGCGCTTTCGGAGCTCAGAACAATCAGCAGCACTTGACGGGATGTGAGACAATCTGCAGAACCGAACAAGTTCTGAGCCGATGAATAGAGACTGAGGCTGAAATCATCTTCTGCATACAGAGGAGTCTCATGCAGTAAGCTGGAGGCTGTCTGTACAAGTTTGGACAAAAAGCACAAGAGCCCCACCTGATCTAGGTAGGATATCTCTATCTGTCTATATTTGATTTTTCTTTCCATAATTTTTCATTTGCAGCTTTTATTTTGAAACTCCATCTGTTTGATGCTCAGAAAAGAGCTGTTGTCATGGGCACCGTAGGGTATGCTAATTGAAGTCACTGTTCTTATTTTCTGCATCTTTCTGTTGACATCCAGCTGAGGAACACAAATATTTAATTGTTTTCCTGCTGCAGTTTCCTGATCAATCAAAAGCTCTGCATTACATTTAGTAAAGATTCCCAGTTGATTGCAGAACAATCAAGTCAATATTTCCCTGAAAGAAAAACCTAAGCTGAAGCTCAGCAAACAGAAAATCAATGTTTTATCTTTAGAGGCTAAATTTTGTTTATTGTTGTAAGGAATAATAAAAGTGGTAGAAAATGTAAAGAACACTAAATTATAAAACATTCATTCTGAGATTTAATCAGCTTATTGATTATCTTTTTGTATATTAGTCTTATTTCCAATGGCATTCCTTTTTTATTGCGTCTACGTTGCATTTCCCTGTTGTTTCAAAGGTTGTTGCCACTGCTACAGCTCCAAGTGTTGGAAGCCAGACTGGTTGATTTGGAAGTGATCAAATCCAGGTTCCAGGTCATCATCAGTCAACCTCTCTTAAGGTTCTTTCTGTGATGAAGAAGAAGAAGCAGTTTGGAGAAAGAGAACATAACAATATAGAAATGGCAGAAATAAATGCACTGCTAGAGCAGTAAACAAATAATAAACCAAAAGAAAAGTGAAAATAAGTTGGGGAAAATAACAATATGAAACAATGGTGCCTGTTCAAAGTTGTTGATGGCTCTGGGGTTCTGGTGAGCATAATTTATCAGATTTTCATCCACAAGAAAGGATTTTTATGCATCTGTTGTACAAATTTCAGCTTGTTTGCTGCCAGACTGGCAGAAGGTTTGAATTGTCAGAAATCCTCTGTATAGCATGTATGGTCAAATGTCTTCATCAGATATCTGCTTTGGTCGATGGTAAGCTTTCATTTGGGCACCATGCAGAGGTCAGTTACTACTTTTTCTCCCCTTCTCTCTTTGCCCTCTTCTTTAATCAAAAAAGAATAGCCAGATATTTATGATGTGGAGTATACAATAATATATTTTTTCCAATGTCCACCTTAAGTTTCCTATTTCTCCTGTATGGCTCAACTCAAAAGCAAACAAATATATTCATGTGGAAAAACACAAAAAAACTAAAATGATTCAGAAGTTTTGTAATGTAAGTGCAAACTCTAGGACATTTTATTTGAATCACCTCTAACCCCTAACCCTTAATCACAGTTGAAGGTTTTTCCTAAACCTTCTCCTGACTGATACTTTTGCACAATGAGATGCTTTGTGACCCATAAGGGATTGTGAATTGGATGCAAATATTAAGAAGTTCCTGCTCAAAGCTGAACTTCAGATTCTGTTAAACATCATTCTTGATTTTCCTTTTTGCTTTATTTTTCAATCCTGACCATAACTGAGATATGTGTTTTGATTGAAAGCCAAAGTTTATTGACATAAGTTTTGAAATAAATATGTAAGATGCAACAGGGACTCATCATGGCTCATTGCTGACATGTGAGAACCAAAAAACACTCAGCCAGGAGTTGCTTTATTGTTGGATTTAAGTTGTTAGATAGAGAGATATTTTAGAATAAAGAAGATTCCACCTACAGTATGGAGCCAGGTAAATCAGATCAAACTGTACCTGCTGACCTTTATTGGAAAAAAATTGAAGTTCAATAACAAAGAAAAGAAGCCAGACAAAATTAGACCTTTCATTTCTCTTTTTGAAAGTTGCAGGAAGTGTATTTGCTGAAAAACAAGACACTCACTCTTCACTTCCAGTGAAAGCACAAAAGACAAAAAGCAATCAGTGGGAAGCTGACTGACAGTTCTGTATGAAGGTGTGCTTCTTGAAAGTTACTCAGATCTATAAAACACATTATTAAAGGAGGCAAGAAGCATCAAAATGGAATTATCCTTAAATGCAATGATTTGACGATTTATTACTCACTTTTGTTCACCCAACACAATAACATCTATTTTTCATTTCAGTCAAATCAGTAGTGAATTTTAGTGCTTTGTTTGTTGCAATGCTATGTTTTGCACATGGCATATCTCTACAGAGTTCGCATCTTGAACTTGAGTTTGCTTGAGATTTCCTCTCACACTCCATAGTCAGACATGTTTGGTTATTTCGGACTGTGCAGCCGATTCAGGCTGAAGAGCAGTTCTCAGTGAATCTTGATGATTTCAGGGAGCCTCTTCATTTAATTGCTTTGACTGATTTAATAATCGATAAAAGAGAAAATTTGACTTTCCACATGGATTAAGTTCTGAGACTGAAGTAGAAGTTGCTTTTGATTAAATTACTGCCTCTTTTATTCTTCACACTGCAGCTGATTTGACTTCACAAACCTTTCAGTCATAAATTCTGGGAAAATAAATCTGAAGGCAGGGAGTGAGAGAATGACATTAAAACTTATGTTTATCTTTCAGTGACACCACCCAGTGGTAAAATGTTTTAGATTAATATTACCAAGCCTTCCTGTTCCTCTCCAGAGTGCACTCTGATAGATGCTTCTCTGCTGTACAATAATTTATTGGTATTAGATACACTGGCATTGTGAAATACATTGGTTTTGTGTAATTTACACATGCCTGACATTTTTAAGCCACCTTATTATACTCATAAGAAAATTACTTGGCATAATTTTTAATCATGATGACCAGGGCTGTGTCATACTTTCTTGTAGTGCTATAGACTGATATCTAGTGTTCTTATGTTTTGTAGCCCTTTTTGAGGAGATTGCTGTAGAAATTTAATGTGTATTTAATAATCTATATATCTGCGCTGTAGGCGTAGGAGCTCCTCTGAGATTTATTTTTTAAAATTTAAAAAAATAAATAATTTCCACACTCAGCTCCTTCAGACTAGCGGCAGCAGCAAATATTAAACACCTAATGGAACCGCACATGTGCCGAGCTTGTCATACAATCTACTTCTCAACCCTTCGCTAATAAGAACGGCTTAATGGAGAAGCATTTTTGTGAAAGTAGCGAGTCAAAAAAAAGTAGGAGCTTCTTAAAGAGGTGGAAGCCAATTTCAAGGTGTTTAGATTTATTTTGAGCTATGCTTTATAAATATTCAGCATTTTATAACAAATGTGTATGACATAGTTACTTATGTTTGTTACATGAAATTGTACTATAGTCCTGAAAATACTTTAACTAATTGGGGATATTATAAACTAGAAGTAAACAATAATAACAAAAAAAAATAATATTTCAGCAAGCAATATTTCGACATATTACTATTTACAATGACAAGTATGTTTGAGGACAAGCATAATAACTATATAAATGAAGTTTACATTCATTTTTTTAAAACTGCTTCAGTAATGGTGGCTTCATACCTCCTTTTTGGTCAAATATAGTGTTTGGTCTAACTGAATTTTAAAGTGTCTATAATTGTTTTTGATCTTTTTTCTTCTTTGATTAAATATTCAAAGTGCTGTATCACCCAGGAACTGGAAAGAACATTTGGCTGATGTGAAATGTGTTCAGGAAACAATAGGAAACCTTCATTTGCCTATTCAAGCATTTAACGTGTCCTTCAAGTTCATTGTACTTTATTTTTATAGTGCCACTATAAAAATCAACTGAATTGTTCCATTTACATGAAAAGTACCCTTCAAGACACAGCTTGTGAAACAAATTAATTTATTCCAATCCAAAACAATCAGATTCAACATAAAGCATAAATGAGTAAAAAGTAGCTTTTTCACCAACACATATTCTCACTTTGCGTCTCTGGCCTCTCATTCCGAAGCAGACTCTAAAAGGCAACACAACTCTTGTTTCCTGCCAAAAACTGCAGACTGGCTGTGTCTGCTTGTTGTCCAGTGCTCCACTGTGCAACATCCATCTGTCCTTTTCTGATAAAACAATCCAAGACACAATCTGAGGTGTTTAAAGGCATCGGGTGATGTTTGCTAATTGGCAAAAAAAATGCAGGCTCCTCTTTCCTGGCTGGGAGTGATTCTGGAAAGAATCTATTGAGGAGACAAAACTTCAAAAGTTAACATATCTTGATGTCTTGATCTCAACTGATGGCAGAATGGAGAACCAAAAAATGCACGGATCTCGGTTACATCCACAGGAATCGTTCAAGTCTCCCACTGTGCAAAAGATCTTGAGGAAAAAGCTCTTGATTTACTGGTGCATCTACACTCCAGCATTCATATGTTATCATGAGATGTGGAACATTACAAGCAGATGAGATTCCTATGAAAGATGGCTGGGCTTTGCCTTTGAAAGAGGTTATATAGGAGTGCTCAGGAGTAATTTTCTTGTTAGATGTGTTCCTGGATAGATAGGTTGGTAATCATTCTTTTTCACTATCCAGCAAGTGACTGCAGATGAGGCCTCAATTGAATTCTTTCTGAAATGTCTAAATGACAGCAAGGCACTAAAATTCTTGCTCCATAGACACCAAGTAGGATGTAAGTTATTTACATGGAAATACTTGTTCCTTCACCCTCCATGAAGTGGTTCTATCATTTTAAGAGATCTATGAGATATGAACCGAGAAGATATGAACAATTTGCTTGTCAGAGTTTTGTGTCTGGTGTAGGAGCATCAGTGTGAAGTGCTCTATAACCAATAGAAATCCTTAGCAAAGCGATCTTGACACTGCTAGCATCTTGGTACTAAAAAATAATACACACAGTATTTATAGAGTCATGCTGCAGCTTTTTTACTTTAGTTGTTTGTGATATATTTAAGAAACAAGGTGGTGTTTAGGCATTACATAGGGTTTCACCAATCAATTTTTTTTTTCCATTTTTGGTGCTCATACAGATATCTGAGGTATAGTATTGACCGATACAGAGAAAATCACTGCTGAATTGACTTAAAACATTGATTAAAAAAAACAAAAAAACACAGAGGTCAGAGTTGATGGAAGGATGGGTGGAGTTT